GGGGACACGGTGTTTCTCTGCAGCGCCGGCTGCTGCGGTGAGAGGAGCCGGGGGTCCGTCAGCGAGGAGGTCACCAGGGACTGGGTCACCAGCGAGCTGCCCGGGTTGCTGAACTGCAGCGTGTTTTGGTTGGTCACCGGCACCGTCACGGGCATGGCAAAGTTGGGCGCGGGCACTGCGGACTGAAGAGAGAGCAGGGGGTAAAGGGGAGCAGGCACCTCTCTGGGCAAGAGCAGGTCTGATCCTGCATCACAGCAGCAGCATCACCCCCCTGCTGAAAACAGCGGGGGCGGGGGGACAGCCCGGAACCCCCCCAAACCCCCATTTCACTGCCGACCTGCACGGCTGTGATTGCACCCTGCCCACGTCGGCATCTCGGAGGGACGCACCGGAGCCCGCACCCCACCAGGGAAGACCGGGAAGAGCAATCGGCTCTCCACATCAAAGCTTTGCAACCAGCTGCTTTGGGCTCATTTTCAGCTCCTATTTATTTACGCCCAGGGTTTTCGGGGCAGCCCGCGGAGAGGTGGTTGGAAACACCCCCAAACCATCAAGGCGGGCAGTGGCGCGGTGGTCCAGCCCCACCAGCACCGAGAGCGGCCGAGCTCAGTGCTGCCCTTTGTCCCACCGCAGAGGCCAAGCAGCCTGCGGGGATTTTACAAGGCTGTTCCTCATCCAGCGGGATGGGAAGAGGAGCACCTCTCCTATGAGAACAGGAGGAGAGAGTTGGGGGGGTTCAGCCTGGAGAAGAGAAGGTGAAAAAGGGGAGACCTCAGAGCCCCTTCCAGTGCCTAAAGGGGCTCCGGGAGAGCTGGGGAGGGACTCTTGGGATGAGGGGGAATGGCTTCAAACTGGAAGAGGGGAGATTCAGATGAGATCTGAGGAAGAAATGTTTCCCTGTGCGGGTGGTGATCCCCTGGGGCAGGTTGCCCCGAGAAGCTGTGGCTGCCCCATCCCTGGAGGTGTTCAAGGCCAGGTTGGACGGGGCTTGGAGCAACCTGGGCTGGGGGGAGGTGGCCCTGCCCAGGGCAGGGGGTGGGACAAGATGGCCTTACAGGTCCCTTCCAACTTCAGTCATTCCATGATTCTACAAAAGAGCCGGCAGCGGATCACCGCTTCAGGCCGGCACTGCCGCTCGTGGCCGAGCATCTGGGAAAGGCTCGTTTTGCTCCGCACAGCCCTCAGGTGACACTGGGATCCATCCTGGCACCTCTGGGAGCTGCTGGGAAGGAGGAGGAGCTGACCCCGGGGAAGCAGGAGCATCGCTAAAGCCCTATCCTCGGCCGCAGGTCGAGGACCAGCTTCACCTACCAGCGTCCCCGCTGGAGCCAGACTCGCCGCGATTATCCCTGCCGTCTGTCTTATGTCACTGATTTGCTCTTCGTTAACAGGAGCAGGCACCTGCTTAGAGGCTTTAGCGGGGGCTTTGCTAAAGTCCCACTTTAATTTGCTGAGGGCTGGAGAGGCAGAGAAGCCCAGCGCCGCATGGGACCGTCACCGGACAGGAGCTGGGACCGCACCGACGAGGGCAGAGGGAGCCGAGCATCCCCCCCATTGCTGCTGCCCTGCCGCCCCCTCCCCAAATCTGCTCCTAGATGGGCAATTCTCTTTTGGGGTAGAGTGGAGGATGGCGTGACGGAGCGGGACGGCGCTCACCCACGCCTCGCTGCTGGAATCCCCCCAGCCTCTCAAGGGCATCCCGTCCTTCAGAGACATCCCGCGGCCGCAGCCGAAGCTCAGGGGACGGCGGTTCACAGCCTCCGCTGCGGCATCGCCGCTCGAAGGGACCGGGGCTCGGCGTTACCCAGACCTTCCCAGCCTGG